CCCCAAAACCCCAAAACCCCAAAACCCCAAAACCCCTCTATACAATCTTGGTATTGAGCTTATTAGAGAATATTTAGAACTTAGCAGCTGGTCTTGAAGGATCTTTACGATTTTGAACCAATGCTTCAACTGCCTTCAATGAAATATCTTTCTTGAATTTCAAGGGTTTGATAATCTTTCCTGCCTTGAGTAGTACTTCAGGTTGGATGAGTCTCTTATAACTAGCAAGAGTGTTCCATTCTTTTCCAACTGGAACATTCATCAATTGTTCGAATTGTCCAGCAGACTTGAATGGATGAGGAAGCTCAGAGACCATATATTTGGTAAACTTTTTATCTCTGCTTTCATTGATGATAACATTTGCCTTCTTGTTATCCCTTCTCTTATCCTTTATCTCTTTAATCTTCCTCTCTCTTCTCTTCTTCTCTTTGTTTATTTCAGCTCTTGATTTGGTAATTCCTTCTCCAGTCCATGATCCCCATCCATCCATGGGCTTCTCTTTCTTCTTATCCTCATCACCAAGTTCTTCCTCCATTTGTTCCTCAATGAGAGTTTGCTTTTGCTTTTCAAATTCTTCCTTTTCAAGGTCTTCATTGGTGACATAGAACTTTCGTTTTTCTTCATCTTCATCGTCAATGTCTTCAAATTTAATTCTCTTTCTGTTCTTTATTTCATCAATCTTGAAGTCTTTCAGGTCAGTCTCCTGGTTAAAGGTCAGCTGCTTGTTGTTTCTCTTCTTTCCAGCAACCTTGTTCACGCTTTCTTGCCATTGCTCTACTAAGTCATTTGCAGTTGGAACCTCAGCATCTTCTATTGCTTTATCGATATGGTCTTTCTTTGATTCCTTAGATTTAGATTTCTTACTCTTCTTCTTGTTCATATCACTGACTAATTCCTGAACATCTTCAGTCTCGAGGTTGATGTCTGCTCTCATAGCAGTCTCTTCATTTTCTCCTTTAAACTTCTGCTTGGAGGATCCTTGCTTTTGCTTAATATTGGTAGTATCTTCATCTTCCATGTCATCATCTTCATCATCTTCTCCCTCAGCTTCACTCAATTGATTAATTTCATCAATGAGGGCCTTAGATTTTTGCTTAAGGATCTCTTTCTGCACAGCTTCTGCCTTTTGCATGAATTTCATTCCTAGGATGCCGGTCTTTTTGTTTTTCTTTTGATCTTGTTTGGCTTTCTTCCTGGCAATCTTGTCCTCATCAAATCCTTCTTCATCAGAATTGCTCTCCTCACTCTCACTGTCTGAAATATTTTGATCAATGTTCTGGAGTGCTTCTTTCTTAAGTTTGTCGAGAGTGTCGTTAGCTTCATCTGAAGAAATATCGCTCTCTTCTTCACCATCTTTATAAGTGTTCACATTCTTTGTCTTTTTGGAGAGCTCATCTCTCTGTCTCATCAAGTCAAAATATGCGTCTTTGTTAGCATCACTTGTGAATTTTCCGTATCTCTTGAGATTTTTAGCGAATTTAGAAGTCGTTCCATGACGAAGACTGATTCTTTCTTCCACTCTCTTTTCCTCAATTTTGTCTCTGTACTCCTTAGCTGCTTCAGGATCGATGAGTTCTAGTTCTTCAAGGAGTTTTCCCTCTTCTTTCTCTTTAGCCTTTCTCTTGATCTTATGGTAGAGCTTAGATTTAATCTTGGCTAAACGCTTGTTCTTGAGCTCTTGTCTGAACAATAGATTCTTCAATTTATGCATATGCTTCATCCTTCTTTTGAGTTCTTCTGGGTCAAGCTCGAGTAAATTCTTTTTTTCTTTCTCCATGATGTCTTTCTCAGTAGCTATTCCATCCTTGACAAGAGCGTCTTGGATTTGTTTCTCAAGGTCGTCCTTAGGAGTAAATTCTGTAGCCATTGATGCTAAGGTAGCTCCTTTTGTCCTGTTTTCCTCAATTGTGAAGTCAACATAGTCACTTTCTCTATTTTTCTTGACCTGGTTAAGCCATTTAGCAGCCTTCTTTTTATTGGTTTCGTAGTTAGCCTTTCTTTCAAGTCTTTGCTTCTTAACTCCAGACATAGGAGCTTGTAGAGCTGGAGCTCCAGATGCAATTTCTATAGATAATTAATTTATTAAAAACATACCTTTCGAAATTTTGTTAAGTTGCTTCTTCAAAGCAGCAGAACTAATACCAGCTTCATTTGATATCTTTTCTCCTTTGGTCGTGTCTTGCTTACTTTGAGCTCCCTCAATAGACCTCAAGAAATCATTCATAGTAAGCTTGTTATCTTCTCCTGCGCCTAAAAAGTAACTCTATTGCTTACCGATCAGCTTGACTTCCTTCCTCACAATCTTAGTTCCTTTCTTAGGCTTCTGGCCTTCCTTCTTAAGTATGGACTTGATATTCCCCACTAGTTCGTTCTGCTTGGTCTCGAGCTCTTGTTCGTCCTCTTCACTGCTACTATTGGAGTAATCTTCGATAACACTCTCTTGGTCTTGAGCAGACATTAACACTCTTTTATTAATTATTCTATGGGTAGCCCGAAATTTGGGGTTTTGGGGTTTTGGGGTTTTGGGGTTTTGGGG